CTTCCTTAGCTGTTTATTACAGGTTGCCGAACCAGTGTTGAAAAATGTGACCAAAATTTTGTGCTCTGTACCAGTTTGGTCTACCTGAACATTATTGCAGAATACAGCAAACAAACTGGTGGATACGACAGCTGCGAAGTCACTCAAATGTTTTTATGATCATTTAAAATTTGGTCTATCTCATCTCTAGTCAAATTTTTAGGCTTTGTCTAAAAACACAAAGACCTTAAAAAAAAAACAATTAATAAACGAGTCAAAAAAATTTGTTGATAGTTTTCAAAAATGACAAAGAAAAGTAAAACTGAACTTGTAACTCTAGAAAAGTTGGTGGTTGAGAGCATGAATGAGAAAAAAAATAATCTAACAGACTGGCTTAGACTATTTATTTTACTGAAAAAGCATAAGCAATAACCAAATTTTACTAGTAGTGTTATCGTGTGTGAATACGATTCAAAATCGTAAGGCTTAATTTTATTACCGTAAGGTATTAACTTGCCAAATGCTAAGAAAAGAATTTGTTGTAATACCTGTAATTACTGCTGGTTATTGGTAACCTAACATTGAAATTGTTTTGTTGATTTCACAATTTGATAACTGCAGTTTATCTCAAGAAATAAAAGTTTTATGAAATGGTTTTTCTGAAGCAAAAAAAAAACAGATATGATGACGGTTGAACGCTGTGTAATAACTGTCAGCAGTAATAGAAGACCAAAAACTAAAAAATAGCTTTCCTTGTTAATGTCATCTTAACGCACTAACTGTTTGGTTGAATTGGAAGGCTAGACTAGAACAATGAACATTAGCAAAATAGATGTTGAAGCAATTTTTCTCAAAAAATTCTTACAGTACAAAGTGTCTCAAAATTGATTATTCTAAGACTAAATTAGTTATTTTTCATCTTTCTAGAGTTTTAGAGTTTTGTCTTACTTTCGTTATTTCCTGAGCACTTTTTGACCATTAATTTCATAAAAAACAGCTTGACTTTTACAACTGCTTACTTTCTTTTCGAATATCTTGTTAATTTTATAGCACACACAGTTTCTTTGATTTACTGCTCATTCTTGAAAAATAAGCAAAACATGCGGAAAGGCAGTTTTTTACAGGAAAAATTCAGCAACTTTTGCTGAGCTTTTTTTTGGCGATGACCTTAACAGTTGAAGAACTGAAATAAACTTTTCTAA